TTGCCGTTTGCCGTCTGCCGTTAACGTCATGCTTAACCTCCCTAATAACAAACCATAAAGGAACAGAGATGGTTAAAGATGGATAAGATTAGCACATTACAAACGACGAAAGATGCCCAAACCGTGATGCAACTCGTTTAAATAGCAGTTATACATAGGTTTCAAAATAATCGCTCACTACATCCTTGACACATCATGTCATTGAGACCCTGGAAATTTCCGGAAATTTCCAGTGCACCGTGACGAATGGAACAGCATATTCCGAAATTTGCAGAAAACAGAACAACCTCGCGAGGTATATTCAAATTTTTGGAGATTTATTACCGGAAATGTCCGTTCCATTTTATTTTCCTTCCTGAATTTCCGAAAGTTTCGTTTGAATGGTTCACTGTTTGGAAATTCACTTTTACCGGATTTTCTGGAAACATTTCTCGGGAAATTACCGTACCATCTGTCCCCGGTTCGATATTTTCGGAATTTTTGGTTGAATGGGAAGTGCCCCTAATATCTTTGAGACCCTGTTTGTACGGTTATACCCTCTTTGAGACCTTGATATCTTGTATGTAACTTCACATTTTCAGCCACATCAGCTCAGTTATCATCCGTATTTTTTTTATTGGATGTCTACTTTTGACGCTTGAGTACATCCTCTTAAAGATAACGGCAAAAACTTTCTTTTATGAAATTGTCGGTTGGTGGTTTAAATTTTACTACGGTTGCCACTAAAATAAGGTATCACGTAATATTCAAGCTGACATTTAAAGTGAAGGAAACCTTCACTTCGTTAAATAATTATTAAACATTTAGAAAGGAAGCCACATCAGTCGTAGCTGGTTTTCATACGGGTCTTCTAACCAGGCCAAATTTGGAATTTGGAAATGTTATTTTTTCAAGAGAAAAGGATAACCTTAGAATTCGGAGAAAAACTCATAAAGCAAAGCGAGAACCAACAACAAACTCAACCCACGTATATTGCGCCAGGCCGAAATTGAGCTCTGGTTACATTGGTGGGGATTGAAGAAGAGTTGGTGGAGTGCTAACACCACTGCGCCATCTCAAATCCTCTCGGGACGATGAACTTGAAAACTATAAAAATACACTCTTCCTGAGGTAGCTTCAGGCTTCTTGAAGAGACACTTCTTTGAAAAGTGACAGTTAAACGTAACATCTTTAACCAGTTTATAATTAAATTTTATCCGCTTAACCCATTGAAGTCCTCCTTCATTTGTTAAGGTGAAAATCCCTTACTTTGATGGTCGGTGGCTCATTTTAGGCCTAGTAACGTGCCTTTGCCACTTAAGCTCATGGAGGTCCTCATCTTGACAATTTTCATTCAACTCGTTTACGCATTTGTCACTTAGCTGTTCCTGTCGCACTATATCAGTACAAGTGAAATATTATATGAAGACCCTTTAATTAAAAAACTGACAAACTGGAAATAGGCAATCTCTGAGTTACCATTCTCTTAAGCTTCAAAATGGGTCAGTGCTGAGCGATGCACAACGTTTGCTGTGCTTTATAAGCACTCTATTAATTTCAAATTTTAACTGTTGGAATCGTTAGGATACCTTGAAGCATGACTTTAGGTTGCTTTTGATAGTCTCCTGGTGACGTCACAAAACCTACCATTTCTTATGACATCAGAGAAAAGTAAAAAGCCATACAAGGTCACTCATTCCCAATCAACCTCGGCAAGAACCGAGAAGATTCAATTTAGCTTGCAAAAAGAACATTTATGTAAATTACCTTAACTACTCGGGCGAG